CTCCGTCCGGACTATCTAGGTACCCGACCTAGAATTTATTGCAGTTCGAACTAGCTGCATCGTCGCATTTGTGCATCATACTCAAGTCCGTCTCTTTGTTCTTGTTACTTTTTCATGGAAACACTATACATGGAAGAGGTCTGTATCGCATTAGCTGCCCCCATACTGCATTCCAAAGGTGCGCGCCGTATTTCACACAGCTACAAGCAAGCGTCAGCCCGGGCGAATACCTTGAGAGGATATTTTATGTCAGGTACAAACTAGAATGGTAAGAGATGTGGAGTTGCACAGGCAGCTGCGAACCTTTAGCCTGCCTTGGGTGAGACTTCTTGCCGGCATGAGCCTCAACCGCACCGCGTGACCTCGCACTGTAAGGTACACACGACACATACCCACGAAGATCCCAGCACGAGCTGCAGTCACATCGCCAGTGCAGATGTTCGGCACTATTCGTCATCCAAACAGATCCCTTATTCCTATCACTATCACCCACGTCGCATCCGATTCAACAAACTCCACATTCTCTCATTATGGCAAATCCTTTCGGACCTTTCCGGCCCGCGTCACCTGCCGAGGATCTGCCCCCATACTACCAAGACACAGGCAACGACGATATTCGGCAATGCTTCCGTAACTTCGATTTGGACCGGAACTTTGACCTCTTCGACCGGCAAACAAGAGAGCACAGGTGCCGCAATTTCTGTATCGACTTTGGAGAAGATGAAGGTGATGCCTTTTGCGCTTTCGATCTCAACGCCGAAGCGTACAAGAAGTTGCTGCAATCGCCACGGCCGACTGAATTACACACGCGATGGATCAATATCTGGAATCCCTCCAACCAAAAAGAGCTGATCAGAACGCTAGCCTCTCACTTCGACTTCACGCCTAGACTGCTGGGCATGATGACGAGCGATCACGTTCTGCCACGTAACAACCCTTCCTTGCGCACGAAGAAGAGTTCTTCCACCCTAAGATCGGTGTTCTCCCACAAATCACACACATCGAACATGTCCAATTCGATCAGGGAAAAGGCAAAGCAAGCGAATGAACAAGCTTTGGATTCAGAATCCAGTATCGGTCTCACCGAATTGATGCAATCTACACAGCTGGAGCTGGTCCGAGATTTGGATCACTACCAGCTAGTAGACGATGTATGGCATTGGAGTACCGTCGATCAGGGTCGGAGATGCAAGTTACCCTTTGCTTGATAGGAGACACAGGCCCTAGATGAAAAACCCCTGCTGACAGTAAAACAGATATGGGCATAGGCTACAACTCGTTACACAACGTCCGCAGCAAAGAAACCAACACGCGCCCTATAATCTCGGATAGAACCCGAGACGTGCCCCACGGCAAACGTGTATGGAACTGGCTTCTCTTATGCGAGGATAAAACCGTCATCTCAATCTCCGAAGACCCATTCCCGTTCGCCAACGGTGCTTTAAACAAAGAAGAAGTGAAAGTACTCTTCACGACACGTCGGAATACTGTGAACGTCTTCAGACAACTCACGAAAGCGCCGACGCCACTTAGAGAAGCAGCGCTCACTCAACTACCCATCCGCCAACGTCTCGGCAGCAGCGATGAGGAAACAGCCCACCGCCCCACAGATGCCCCCGGCTTGCTCTTCTACTACCTCTTTGAAGACTGGGGCGCTACCTTCGATCTCATCTCGCGCCGCGAACACGGCTACGCCGCCGAGCTCGACCGACTCCGACAGGAAATGCTCCAGACAGCCAACCTAACCCACGTCGACCAACTCCACCACATCGGCTGCCAGCTCGCCGTCCTAAAACGCGTCTACCAAAGCTACGAATTGATCATCGAGCGCGTCCTCAAAAAGCAAGAAGCCACCCTCGCGTCACTTAAGAACTCGCACATCCTCTCCGGCAACGCCTCCCTCATCTCCTCCCACCCCGTAATAAACGACTCTCCCGGCCCCCTCGTCCCCGAAGCCGACAGCCTCCTCGGCGTAGCCCTCAGTTCCGCCGCCCGCGTCCGCTTCGAACGCCTCAAAGACCGCATCCAGCTCTACGCCCTCTCCGAAATATCCGAATGCCTCGACCAAAAAGAGTCCCTCGTAATGATGAACTTCAACCTCATCGCCATCAAAGAATCCTTCTCGGTCGAGCGCCTCACCTGGGTTACTCTGCTGCTTGCCAAGATAACCATCTTGTTCACGCCTGTGACGCTGATGACGGGGTATTTTAGCATTCAGTTCAAGGGGCTGGAGTTTGAGGTGGACAGTTATTGGAAGGCGTTTGGGTGGACGTTTGGGTTGAGTGCGGCGTTGCTGGTGCTGTTTAGTTGGGTGAGTGGGACGTTTGAGGGGAAGATTATTACGAGGAGTTGGACGCGGGCGGTTTATGATGTTGCGCATAGGTGGGTTGTTGGGAGGAGGAAGAGGGGGAAGATGCTGTGAGCAGGGTTGGGGAGTGTGGTGGATCTATGGGCTATTAGATCCATAGGATGGAAGGAAACCGAGTTCCACTGTAGAGGTGATTGCTGTTGCTCTTCGTGACCTATCTCAGGGTATAGCAATTGACCAGTCACGAGGTGTCTCTTCAACCATAAATAAGAAGCGATCTGTGAGAGCTGTCTCCTAAACCATACCCTAAAGTGACAATGACTTTGACTTTCATGGAATACGAATCCATCATCTGGGAGAATGAGACGAAGAAGAAGATCCTATCTCACGCACGCGCCGCGTACATTGAGGAAGTCCTTCCAGGGACCACCTTCGACATCGTCACCACTAGGAGCAGCGAGAAGTTTATCCTCCATGTCGTCGTGATTCACGAATGTTCTCACCGAGCCAAGTCGAAGGTTCTGGTGTCTACGAAGATGAACGATACAGAACATGATGGGTTGGAGGAGTTAGTGACGACGCTACAAGATCAGCTTTCTAGGATAATACAGGAGGTCACGGATGATGTCTATAAAGTTGTATATCCTGATGGATAGGTGTTAATGCAGTGCCTGGCTAGTGGGTGCGCAACAGGGAGGAGTAGGACATGTGCTGGCTACGTCATGTGTTGTAGCCTCATATATCTCGACAACAATGGATATGTTCTCCGCGATCTCTTCTGCTAGACGTTACCATACATTTCCGAACACACTGGGCACGTATACCAATATCAGCGGGGCGTTTGCTGCTCGCATTTTTAGGCAAACACTACCTAGGTATCTGTACGCAGCAAAGTGAAGATCTTTCGCCTCATTCTCCGGAAACGCTTTGTGAAATCATCTCAACTGTTGTACTTCGCCTGCGCGTACACTTCCTAAATTCTCTTGCTGCACTGCACTAAGACACGATTCTACCATCATGTCTACGCCAGAATACGACATCCTATGGGAGAAAGAAATGAAGCAGCAAATCCTATGTATGCTTCCACTCCCCCAATCACGTTACTACCCCATTTGATTTATACCTTACTAACCGTACCCTACCAAAGCACACGCCCGTGCCGTCTACGGCTCCAGATACCGCTATCATTCCGTCTTCGACGTCGTTCATACCTATTCCAGAGACGTACGAGAAAGGCCATACAACACTCACCTTATCGTATACCAGCGGCCGCATAGGATCAGGAAGTGGGATCGCGTTCACTCGGTTCATGATGGCGTTGATGCTGCGGCGGGATTGACGGCTCTTTTGGAATCGCTAAGGGTGAGGCTGGGTCGAAATTTTGTTGAGTTAGTGGATGGGTAGGGAAGGGAGCCTCCAAGCGTTGTGTGTATCTTTGGGTAAAACTCAGTTTACAAATATAGAATGGTTACCTAAGCGCAATAAGAGTGAAAGTGAGAGCGAAATCATTGTCTACGTAAGCAAAATCTTGCAGAAAAGGGTTCCAAGTTTTGTTTTTCTCCACTTTTCTTCTACTCCAAGGTACCTGGGTTTTGGACCATTACCTAGACGCTCAGCAATCGCGAAAATGACCGAGAAACTTAACAGCAACGATCAAGCGCAATATTAAGAGACGCTGAAAGCGACTATCATCGGTGAGTCGAGTTATGATTGTCGCTATCTACATCGTATGTCTCACATTTACCACAGCCCACGCGTGCGCAATCTACGGTCCGGGTTATAGCAAGGCTCCCAAATTCGACGTCATCATCGGCTATATCAAAGACGAAGACAATCTCGATACCACTGTCGCCTGGCTCATCGTCTATCCGGATACTAAGAACTTCAACTGGAAGCCTCTTTTACAAACACTAGAGTGCCGAAATGTAGAAGACGCGTATCTATCGCTGAGGCGAATGTTGCGCATGAAGACGGCCGAAGTCATGGGTTAGTAGTTCATATTGTTTCACAGGTAGACGGCTCACTAAGCGTATCCAGAGACGAAGGACAAGACTGGAATGGAGCTGCAACCGAAACCGGAATGCTGTATGATGTAGTCAACCCGCGGAGATTTTCTACTAGGGCAGATAGGTTCAGGCCAGTCATTAGCTTGCGTGGAGAATTGCAACGACACTCATTCAACATGACACAACGTCGTTTACATAAGGACAGGCAGGAAAGTTTCATAGAATATAGGAGTCCACCGGAAGCGGACAGGCCTCGTGGTCTGTCCCAACCCGGCTCACTGTATTAGATCGACGAAGGATACTGCAGGGAATCGAAAACTCCACTTAACATATCTCATACTTAGATTTCCCTACGTACACCTACACTCTACACACCCTCATATTGCCTACGTACCAACACAACCGTCCTTTCATCTGAAAAGGCAAGAAGCAGGAGTGATTCATCTCATGTCACTTCATTCCAGCATATTTCTGACACAATATCTGAGTATCATGACATTTAACTGGACTTGTCGAGCTCTTCCAACTGCCCGAAATAGGTAAGCTCTACGTAGCTAAGATGGTACGTGCTTGACGGAGTATTAAACAATACTTTCACTCCACGGCTCCATCACTCTTGTATCCCACTTTCGCAACACATACCGATCAATACAATCCAGTGTTGTTGAACACACAACCTCAAAATCATGGCTGGAATGACCAAGTACGAGACCCTGATGTGGGAAAAGCAGATCGAAGAGCAGATCTTGGGTAAGTTTCCCCTAAGCGTTCGGATATATGACGCTCAATTCTAACCTACGTAGCTCGGATCGACTTTCTCTTCTCTAACATGTTCCCTCCCGGTGTCGTCTTCAACATCAGCATCTACGGAGAGCCCGAAGCATATGGAATAGACATTAATTGGAAGATGGGCTCGACGGATACTCCTTGGGATGGTTTGATGCGCTACGAATTCGGGGATACTGCAGAGATAATCTTGGAGCATCTGCTGGGATATCTGCGTACGCAGTCGGTGGAGGGCAAGTACCAATTCAGAGTCCCCCAACCCGTGTGTCTGTACAAAGCTAATACTTGAGTTCCCACATACAGATCTTTGGTCGTCGGTACAGTCTCCTCACCTCGTGGAGAGCATCAAGAAAGCTAAGGACGCCCACGGAGCGGCTGAAGAAAACCTGAAGGAGGCTGAAGAGGTCTTTAAGAAGGCTGTAGAGGTCCTCCAGAAGTCCTCGACGGACCGCAAGAAAGCCGGGGTACCGGAGGAAGTCTCCGCTTCAATGTACATGTAGCTACCCGACGTCTGGCTCTACTGCATGGGGCGGTTTTCCCAATATGGCACACTGTTTGGTCTTGCTCGAGGAGATCACTGAGTAGATCAGCATCGCTGGGAAGGCGGGAAAGAGACGATGCCACAGGGTACAGCATATACACAACCGGAGCACACACTCGGTTCGATGTCAACGCTGCTTGAGCTACTAGAAAGTCTTCAAGCCCATGAATGAAGCATTGACCATCAGCTCTTCAACATCTCTCTCGCGTGAATGTCTTGGCGGTATCAACATATCCACAAGCCCAGGTTTCCGTACTGTTACAGTCCTCGGTATTCTCACGGCACCATTTTAGATGCCATACGAAAGAAATACTAGGTCTAAGACGCGGCTTCCGTGGCGCGCTTTTTGGCACACCCACTGTGGCGAAGTCCGTAAGAGCCGCGAATACGAGAAGAGAGAGAATACGAGAAAGAGAAGTAACACGAAAACGACTGTTGATCAAATCTCAGCAATACATAAATATGGTATCATCCTACTCAATTCAGTCTTTCTCATTCATCGTTCGTTCACTTCCTTTCAATACTCGTCATGTTGCGATACCTCACCCTCGCATCCCCCGCTCTCGCAAGCGCAGCAGCAACACCATTCTGTCGCACAACCCCCTCCGACGCATCATGGCCCACACCCTCAGAATGGTCCTCCCTAAATGCCACAATCAGCGGATCCCTAATCCGCACCGTCCCCGTCGCAGCCTCCTGCTGGCCCTCCACCAACAACACCTTCAACTCCCCTCTCTCCTGCCAAGAAGTCAACGACAACTGGTCAAACGGAACCTGGCATTCGCAACAGCCAGAGTCCATCGACTACCAGCTCTATGCGAATAACTCTTGTTTGCCAGACGAAGTAGGGAGTTGGTCGGAGAAGCAGGGGTGTAGTGTAGGTGGATTGCCGCAGTATATTGTTAATGCGACGGAGGAGGTTGATGTAGCTTTTGCGATGAATTGGGCTGCGGAGAGGAATGTGAGGATTGTTGTTAAGGGGACGGGTCATGATCTCAACGGGCGGTACGTATCCGCTGTCTCAAACTCGTTGAGAACAAGAAGCTGATTATATCTCAATAGATCAAGCGGCGCCTTCTCCCTCTCAATCTGGACGCGCAACTTCCGTAACCTCAGTCGCGACACAGCCTGGCATGTCGCCAACAGCTCTTCCCCACCCGAAGATGTTTTCATCGTCGGCAGCGGCCAGCAATGGGGTAACGTCCTCTCCTTCGCCACAAGTCAAGGTCGTGTTGTGACAACAGGCCAAGACCCCAGTGTGGGTTTGGGAGGCTATATCCAAGGCGGTGGTCATGGCCCATTGGCTTCCACCTACGGTCTGGCATCAAGCCAGGTCCTCCAAATGACCGTTGTTACCACCACCGGACATGTGCTTGTCGCCAACGAAGTCCAGAACCAAGATCTCTTCTGGGCGTTGCGTGGCGGTGGTGCAGGACAATACGGTGTGGTCACTGAGTACGTTATCAAGCACCATCCAGCTCCGCGTAACGTCGTCATGGCAAGTGTTCAGATCAAGCCGAAAGGCAGTTCAAATGCCAGTATGGAAGCGTCGTGGTCAGCAGTAGCCAGTTGGCTCAGCCACCTACCCGATCTCATGGACGCCGGACTTGCAGGCGCTGCAACCGTAGCAGTGGGAAGCACGGCACCGAAGTTCTTCCCTGATATCGATGTCTCGAGCGGTCCATTCACTGGCATCGGGCTCAACCAAGTCTTCTGGGCGTTCAACACCACGCCCGCTGCTGTCGAAGCGCTTGTTCAACCCATCTTGACAAACCTCCTCCTTCAGTCCAGCACCAATACAAGCACCACCGCCAACGACAGCTCTCTCGTCTCAACTTCAATGTCGACATCAACTCACAGCAACTACCCCTCCTTCTTCACCACCATCTCCGGCGACAACGTCGCCGGCGGCGAATCCCTCACCTCCTCCCGTCTCCTCGGCCGCGCCGAACTCATCTCGACCCCCCACCCCCGCATCATCTCTTACCTGAAAACTGCCATGGCAAGTCAAAACACCACAGACCCAGGAAACTACGCCACCATCGGCCTCTCAGGCGGCCCCGGCGTACACTCCACTCCCTCCAAACACTGGGGCGCCTTACACGCCAGCTGGCGCACCGCGTATCTGCATTTCATCGCCACGGGCGCTACTATTGATTCCCGTGCCGCGGGGAGTGCGAAGCGTGCGTTGAGCATAGGAGCGGCGTGGCATGCAGTTGTCAAAGAGCCGATGTGGGAGGAGTGGGCGCCAGGGTCGGGGGCGTATATGAATGAGGCGAATCCGTATGTTGAGGGTTTCCAAAAGGTGTTTTATGGGGATGGGTATGAGAGGTTAGTCGAGGTGAAGAGGAAGTATGATCCGAGTGGGAGTTTATTTGTGTTGGCGGGGGTGGGGACGGAGGGGTGGGAGTATGATCTTGATAGTGGGAGGTTGTGTAGGGTTTAGATAGGGGCGGTTGGTGAGGTTGTGGAGTATTGTGAAGTTGGTAGATTGCATGCGCTCTAGATGCGATGTCGAATATGTAGTGCAGGTTGGTTCCTTCATGGCCAGTGACAATATAGCACGTCCATGTGGCACCGTTGATGGTTTCCGGCTTTCACGTCTTGTGTTACGCGTCTGAAGGAAGATGGTGGGTCATGGTTGACATTACAGTGGGGCATATCCCTACAAGGTGGTCTGTGACAGGAGGTCAGCTATCGTGGGAAGAAGCAACACGGTTTGGTGGTGGCGCGGTTCTCAGAGAGATACAAAATTTCGTGAAATGTGACTAAATTAATCGTGTCAATTGGGTACTGCAGATAGCTCATCATGCTACGACCCCATTTTCCCTTCTGCCGCTCCCATCCTAGTATGAGCCAGTTTGATATGGCGCCCGGCGTCCTTTTTTAGCCCGTAAGGGAGTCTCGTGTATCGAGCTCGTGTGTCGTACGTGATTCGTTTACTGGCCGACCTTCTTGGTCTCCTCCTGCAGCTCCTTGATTTGCTGCTTGGTGTCCTTGCCAGTCTCGGAACGATCCGCCTTGACCTATACTCTCCGTTAGCCAATGCCCTCATAACGATGTTCTTCCATCTTCCTGATAAGGTAGATCCAACTTACAGCGCTCTCGCTGTCACTGGCAAGCTGCTCCTCCCAGTGTTGCTTGCCGTCCTTCTTCTTGTTGAGCTGCTCCTGCTTCTTCTTCTCGACCTCCTCGGCGCGGTTCTCAGAGTCTGTTCGCTCATGTCAGCTCGAATCCTTCTCTAGGTGTGGTATTGGCACGCGTTCAATGCTGTGATTGTTGGCGCTAAGCCGAGGTTGGCGGTGCGGACGTACGGAGAGCCGACTCCTTGCCAGCGGTGCGGGCTATTGACTGGGAGAAAGCGGCACGCTGAGCAAAGGCAAAGGGAGCGCGACGGGTCGCGAGGGCACGGATAGCGGACATGGCTGGTTTCGGGGGTGTTTATGTGGAGGGAAGTTTGCGGGGTTTCGGCGGTATAGCTCGGGGCTTCTAGCTTTGGGTATGTTTCGGTATGTGCGTGTAGCTTGACAGGAGGAAAGAAGTTCAATTGAGTCGATGGAGTATCTTAGTTGTATGGAAAGAGCTTGCAAACTTGGCAGATGGACGCTTCAGAAGGAAAGGTTGGTATGCTGGAGAAAACACACGTTCCTCGGTTAGTGGACGTGACTAGCTCCAGCACACGACGTCATACTTTCCCCGGCCGGCAATCACCATTACGAACATTGGCCGATTCCTGTCAGCCACTCGACGGAGCCTCATTAGTCATGCCTTTGCGACAACTAACTCAGGTCTAGATCTGCAGAGGCTCTTGTGGATATGCAGGCCGCCCAATTCCAGCATAACGTACCAGTAGCCATCTGGATCTGGGGTCAGCTGCTCAAATGCCACCTGGCACAAAACAAAGTATCGGTTCCACATTAGCTCTTGCTCTTGGCTATGGCGTCGCGGGCCCCAGTTTCTGCCTGTTTGTCTTGTCACTCGTGCCTGGGTATGCCAACGCGACGAAGGAACTGCACAGACCAAGACACGCGAATCCAATGGACCCACTTACACGTCGCAATTGCCATGATGAACGTCGACTTCGATTGCGATGTCGAAACCCAGGCCTAGCGAGATGCCGTGGTCAACTATAATGTCAGGAAGACGGACAGCTATTCCTTGCCGCTCGATGAAAAGCGCGTTAGACTATACTGGAGTTGCTAACGCGAACGTCGTGTCCATTCCCGCAGCAGGACAAACATCGCAACGAGTAGCTGAGCCCAGCGGATTAGTCGCGTTGGTCAGGAAGCGATAAGAGACGACCGGACAACAATGCGGAGGTGTCTAACATCAGACTGAAATCTGCAGTTGGCCAGGGTAATCCAATTTTCGTGATGTGATACCCATCTCCAATGATGCGAAGGATGCACACCATTTGACTGGTACAAAATTTCGCGTCGTCGTTAGCAAATCGAAATCGTGAGCCGAGGCAAGCCTCATTGAGGGAAGAAAAATGCGAGATTATAGACATAGGGTTGCGGAGTGAACATATTGGTGTCGAACACGATCTTTCTTAGAGAAATGGCATTTCCTTCCGGACCGCCACTAAGCTCTAATGATTCTTCTCTTTACTCTTGTTATATTGTGATGCTAGGTGATAGGCCAAGCCAGCTAGAGTGAATAGCCAACAACGGGTGTATGTTTCTCCGTACCCCCGTTAAAGCTGCTAGGGCTAGAGGTAGAGCGTGCACAGCTAAAAAGAGGCATCTTACACCCTCTCTAGCAGCAGCAATAGGCTATAATAAATTATAAGAGGGCTATATATATAAGTTAGAGAGGTATAGGCTGTTACTTCGCGAAAATTACACTTTGTAGGGCCGCTTCGCGGGAGTTAGAGACTCCGTATTGTATTGTTAGATTTATCCCGTTTCTACTACCCACTGCTGGGATTTTCGTAGAGCTGCGCAGGAAGGGCGTGTG